ATCCATTCTAAATAAAATGCAAATGGACCGAATTGGATCCAATACAATCCAAATTGAATCAAACGCCAAAATAACATGAGAAATCTAGAAAATATATATATATATATATATATAAGTGCTCTCATGAAAGTACTTTCATAAAAATACTTTCATAAAAGTGTTCTCATAAAAGGGCTTTTGTAAATGTACTTCTATAAAAGTGTTTTTATGCTAACTTCAGTTTTGATGGGTTTCAAATTGGACAAGGGTTTGGCCTCATGGTCGGATTATTGGGAATTTGGTTTAGGTCCGATTTAGATCGATAAGAATATGGACCAATTTATTTTGGATTTGCCCAATCCAATAATTATAACAAACCATCTAAATCCAATTTGATAAGGTTTGGATCAGATTGGATTCAATCCGAAACTGGTCCATTGACAACCCTAATAGTATGATTAGTTTATAAATGTTTTAGTAATATTTTATTATTTGTTTAATTATTAATATATTCTTATTTTATTATTATTATTATTATCATGATCATGATCATGATCATGATCATCATCATCATCATCATCATCATCTTATTATTACTTTCATAATATTATTATTTTTTTATTGCTATTAACTTATAATATTTTAATATTTTATTAAAATATTAGGGTTTTGGGGGCTTTTTATCATAGGTTCTATACCTCTTACAAACTTAGGAATGGGAATCCCATTCCCGTGGGATGAGGGTGTGGGGTGGGGGGGCTGGAATGACCTAGGGGTGCAAATGGATCGGATCATGATCCGATCCAATCCTATTTGATCGAATTCGGATCACTCTTGTTCGGATCTTTGGATCGAATCAGATAATAGGATCCGATCAGAAATCAGATCAGATTCGGATCACCCCCTATTCAGTCTGAGAAGACTTGATCCGATATATATTAAGAGGTATTTTAGAAGGAATTGGGAGAGATAGCTTAGGAGAAATTTTAGGAAGGCTTTGCTAAGTGTTTAGGAACATGAGAGAGAGGGAGGGAGTTGGAGTGGGACTCTAGTAAAGAGGAGAGGGCTGCCACGTGGATATATGGAAGGGTTGGGAAGGGGTAAAGGGAGAAAGGAGAGAGGTTTAAGGAGAGAAGAGAGAAGGGGGAGTGATAGAAGGAGAGGGGTGCTGACATGGGACTTAAATCGCTTTATAATATACTAGTAGGGACCCATGCGATGCATAGAAAAATCTAAAAGATTGAATAATTTTATTTACTATTAATTAATTGATAAATTAACAATTAAAATTTATTGTTAATCAACTAAAAGTATTCAAAGTTATTGTTAATATTTAAAATTTTAATAATTGTATTTTTCATTTAATGTTGACTTGCAAAAAACAATTATTTTTAATTTAATATGAACTAATATTTTTTAATAAATTTAATTTTATTAATCACTTGTAGTAATTTTAATAATTGTTATTATTTTCATTATTTTTAAATGAAAATTTGGTTGACTTTAAATAAATAAAAATAATTACAAAAGCTAAATTTTTTATTAATTTCACCAATAATTAACAATTATATAGGACTGGCAACAAGGTGGGTTTGGGGTGGGGCACCCCATCCTTGTTCCCTCCCCATAGCCAAGACACTCTACCCCATCCCCGCCCCGTCCCCAGTGTTAGGTAGGTTCAGGGCAAGGCACCTACTCCCCATTAAGGACGGGGAATCCTTAAATTTCCCTGCTTCGTCCTCATTGTCAGGTGAGTTCAAGGCAAGGCACACATTCTTCATCAAGGATGGGGAATCCTTGAGTTTCCCCGTCTCGTCCCTAGTGTTGGGCGGGTTCAAGGCAAGGCACCCATTCCCCATCAATCCAATATTTTCCAATATAAATGAACTAATAATTTCATTTTCCATTATAATATCTTATTCCCCATCTGCATTCAGTTATTAACTATAATAATAACAATAACTAAAATTTTATACTTTTTGATAATTGTATTTACCCAAAATATTTTAAAAAGTCATGATGAGTTAATTAATAACAATATTTATTATTTTTTGGTAATTTACTAACCATATTTATTTATTAACTTTTGGTAATAACACTATTTAATATTCATTGAATATGGTTGAATTAAATATTAATTATATTTAACTATTTATTAATTTATATGAATTTTTTGAATGAGAGAGTGGATATAGATTATGGAGAGAAATTTTAGGAATTGATTGGGAGTGGGGTAATATGATAAGATCCTAATGGCTTAGAGGAGATACCTTAATTAGGAGAGAAATTCTAGGAATATTTTTTGGTAGTTGGGTTGGGAATGGTGACATGGATTAATGGGAGTGGTGGGAAGGGGAGAGGAGAGAGAGTCAAGGCGAATGCAGGGCGGGGATAATGGAGCAAGGAGAGGCATGCTGACGTGGACCATCTTTTATATATATGTATACACTAGTGGGGACCCGTGCGGGCTTTATTAAAAGAACTTGAGGCAAAATGAGATAGGGGTGTTGGTTGAGCAAGTCTATCCCAAGCCCAACCTAACTCAACCAAAGATTTTGCATAGGTTGGGCTTGAGTTTTCAACTTCAAGTTGGGCTTAGGCCAAAAAACTCAAGCCTAACCTAAATTCAGGTTGGACTTAGGTTGAGGCCTTGGGTAGCTTGAGCCCAGTTTGACCAATTTGAGCCCACCCAACATTTTGTGATATATATATATATATGTATATATATATATATATATATATGTATATATATATATATCTATATATTATCAATATATTCTACTTAGAACAAAGCTCGACATGTCCAACCCCAAGCTTAGCTCAAGATGTTGGATTAAAGCTTGGGTTAGGCCTAGGTTGGTAAGAAAAATTATTGGTAATTTTCAATTACTATTGATAATTTACTAATATATAACAAAAATAGAATGATAATAATTATTGATAATTAATTACTAGCCCAGACCCAAGTTACCAACTTAGGTCCAACTTGATCTTAACTTAACATCTTGGGCTAGACACGGGCTTGGACGTATTGAGCTTTATAGCCTAATTTTTAAGTAAAACATATTGATAATATGTATAATATATATATATATACATAAAATGTTGGCACATGCTCAAATTGGGTTAGGTTGAGATTAAACTAACTGAGGCCTCAACCCAAACCCAACCTGAGTTTAGGGGCCTTAAGTTTTTCAGCCTAAACCCAGCTTGAAGTTCAACAACTCAAGCCCAACTTGTGCAAAAGCTTGAGTTGAACTGGTTCAAGCTCAAGTTAGGCCCACCCAACCCAAGGTACACCCCTAACTCCTTTTGCCTCACATTCTTTTAACAAAACTCATGCATCACAAGGTCCCTGCTAGTAATTAATAGCACTAATTTTAATTTATAGTTACGAATAGTAATATTAATTACTAAGAGTAGTAATATTTTATTGTATTTTTTAATTATTTACGAAATAGTAATTAATTATTTTTAAAATTTAGAATTAATATTTAAAAAATATTTATAAATTTAGGGAAAATTCCTTATTGGTACCCTAAACTTTAGGGGTTGTGTCAAGTCAATCCCCAAACTTTAAAACGTATCTATGCAGTGCCTTGAACTTTCAAAATGTGTCTAATAGGTATTTGCCATTAATAGCCCGTTAGTTAATTTTAGAAATGTCAAAACTACTCATCATGTGTCATCCAATTTTCTTTATATGCCACTTCCACATAAACCAATTTAAACAAAACTCCTTCCATTTAAATCTCGATGCCAATAAACTATGTTGTCATTCCACCTTGCACCCTAGCTGAGATAGGATGGTTGTAGCAACAACCCAATATGGATTTTAGAATATATAGGAAATTTTCATCAAATACATGATATTAAAAAAATTAAAGAATATACAGGAAACCTGGTGGTTTTAGCTATTGCCGGAACTTGGTCGGTTTTCGGCATCGTTGTAGCAATGGCACAACTCTTCAGTTTCAATGTAGAAGACAATGAATAGTGTCTTCTTTCAGGGGTAGTTTTGATATTTTAAAAATTTTAAGTGGCACATGTCATCACATGATACAGATAACTGACATACTGTTAACGACAAGGACTTATTAGACACATTCTAAAAGTTCGATGCACTGCATAGACACGTTTTGAGGTGTGGGGACTAACTTAACATAACCCCTAAAGTTCAAGGCACTGATCAGGAATTTTTCCATAAATTTATAATTATAGTTAATCATTCTTAATTATGAACTAATGAATTTTATAATTCTTAATTTATAAAAATATTACTAGTAGTAATTTTGGTAAACTATTAGTAAATTGTGGACAATATTAGTAATTAATCCCAAAAAATATTACTGAAATGAAAAATATTAATTATTAAAAATAGTAATGTTGTTTGGGAAACATGAGTTGAGATAATTAAGGAGAATAGTTATTTGGGTAGAGAAAGTGAGAAACATGAGTTGGAGAGAGAGAGAGATTTTAAGTAAAATATATTGAGCTAATTAGGAAATGGAGATAAAGGGTGCTGAATTGGCTTAATTGGAGTGGTGAAAAGGGGAGAGGAAAGAGAGTCAATAAGACTGCATGGTGGGGGTAATTGAGCAAGGAGAGGCATGGTGATGTGGATCCGCCTTATTATATATATATAGATAGAATTTGAAAATAATACAAATTAATTGATCATAGTAAAAATAATTTAATAAATTACTTAAATAAAATAAAAATAATAATTAATTATTTTAACACACCGATCATATAGAGGTCCATATGTAATAGGAATTCCTTTCAAATGTCTAAAGCCAAATATTTCCCGAGACCGAATTTCGAGGTCGAATCCAGTGAACCCGTCAATGGGAGGCGTGCACATTGTCCATTTCAAATCTAACAATTCTGTTAATGTTAAGTTCGTTTCATGTTCCCGTTAAGTGAGTCAATCCGGTTCAACGTTGGGAAGAGACAAAACCACCAATAAAAAGCCTTTTTTTCCTCGCATTCATTTGAATTCCCCTTCCCCCATTTTCATTTTCACCCGAGCCCTACCCCAGGAGCAAGAGACCACCGGCAGCAATTTCACCAAGCTCCGACGGCATGGAGCCAACTGGCGATAAGAATAAGCAGAATCCCTTCTTCTCATTCTCCTTTCACCGAACTCCAACGACATGTAATCAACCGGCGGTAAACATCCTTACTTCTCTTTTTTCTTTCAACCCTGTTATTCATTTTCATTAATACCTTCTTCCTTTTCTTTTGGCAAGAGACCACCGGCAATGATTTCATTGTTTCACCAAGCTCCAATAGTGATTGCCTTCCAATTCTGATGGCGTGTTACCTAGCGGGAGGTTGGTGCCGCCAAGCTCAAAGAAACAATTGTGCCTCCGATTTTTCACATGTTGTGTCGGTTATGACGAACCCAAACGGCAAACGATATTAAATGGAAAACAGAAAGAACCTTATTTCCATTGAAGGGGTATAAGTATTTGTTATTTATATGTTCTAGGCAAAGAAGTTGATGCCCTTGAAGTCACGAGAACATATGGAGATTTCATCGGAGCCTTTTAATTTTGAGCTTCTTACAGTTTCTCCGATGAAGTTATTATCGAGCAAAATCCAATTTGCTCCTATTGGATTAGTTGACATGCTTAATACCAGCAATGCTATTCAATCATTGGAGTAGGATGACGAGACAAGTTCGGTTCGAATTGGAGTGAAGGGAACTGGAGAGATGAGGTTGTTTGCATAAAAAAAAAACAAAAGTTTGTTTAATTGATGGTGAAGAGGTTCCATTAAAGTTCGAGTAACACATGGTTGTGGTTCAAGTTCCATGGCCCACACAAATGGATGTTTTTTTGAAAGCCACAAAAAATGGATTGATGTTTGATTTTTATTGAACTAAATTTATGTAATGTGAATAGTAGTAAAGTGTGCTCTGTTATTTATTGTCTGTCTTGTGCGTTGAACAGTAACTTATATTCATTTTTCACAAAACAACCAACTATGATATCAAGAAAACTAAACTTGGTAACTAATGTGAATGAAGAACTAGTATGATAAGTGATGCTGCACGATTTGGGCACTCCTAGCTAACTGTGACCTGGTTTCAGACTGGAACGAACGGCACCTGAGAGGAAGGAGGAAGTGAAGGGTTCCTGGGGAGATATTCCGGTGGGAATACTCCGATGGCTAAGTTAGAACTGAAGGAAATTTCAAAGAGAGTAGAGAGTAAGAGTGCTGCAAGTGCTTAAGCTTCAATACTTTTTCTTTGTGTGGGTTCGGGTTCTTTTATGTTGGAGTCAGGTCATACCTAGCATAATCGCCCTCGCCCTTGCCGTTACTGCCAGGGCAGGTGTGGCAGGCGCAGGTTGCCGCCACAAACTGCCATTGCCTGGTACGGGCCTGACAGACGTGTCATGCCCTCCAGAGGAGGCAAATAGAAAGTTGCCTGGCAGACAGAACGCCGCCTAAAGAGAGATCAAAGCCCTGCCACTGGGTTCGGTGGGTACGGATGTCAGACAGGGCTCCCCACAGCTTATCGAGCTACCGCGCACCGGACTGTCTGGGGCAGGTTTGTCCCTATACCGAGGTGCCGAGGTGCTGACATTGGGGGGAGGGAGGACGATGCTGCCCTGAGGTGCAGTCGGGACACTTAATC